CTCCCTACCGCTACCGCTAGCTCATTTGTTGGAGGCTGAATTATCAGTAGGAAACCTTCATTCCCTGAAAAATCTAGTTCGCTGGAGTCATGTGGAACCTTCTTCTGAAGGCCTGGCTTCTTCTGTCACTATCTCGTTTGTTGGAGGCTGAATTATCAGTAGGAAATCTTCATTCCCTGAAAAATCTAGTTCGCTGGAGCCATGTGGAACCTTCTTCTCTAAATTATTTTTATTTAACTTTATTTATTTTAATTTGACCAGAGAGGGACAGAGTGAGAGAGACAGAGTGGGAAAGTGAGAAAGTAAGCCACCAGGTCTGGGACTTGAATCATGGTTGGCCATGTGGGAGTCCAGCGCCCTTAATCACCATGCCACGTGCTGGTCCCAACTATGTTCATTCTTTTATTAATCTCATCTATTATTTTTAGCATGAGTTTCAAGCCACCAGGTGAAGGACTTGAACTGTGGTTGACCATGTGGGAGTCCAGTGACGTAAAATTATTTCCTTATGGGCTTCATACTATGCTTAACTAGAGGCAGTCCATAAATCTGGCAATTATTTGAGCTGCAGCCATATGGCATATTACACAACCTTGTTTGAGAAGTTTGGGTGGCACGTCTAGGTATACTGAAATGGAATAAGGAGGTGAATCTGAGCCTCAGATAGAATGTGGCCTCAGTGTTTACAACATGAATTCATTTCAATCTATTTGAGAAATCACAGGAGCAATGACTGAACCACCCATTTCACCAATCCTGGGAAAAATTTAAAAAATAAGATGGAGAGGGACCAGCAGATGGCATAATGGTTACATTGTTCTATTCCCATATGGCCAACCACAGTTTGAGTCCTGGACCCAGAGGCTTAAAACTCATGCCAGGTGCATGTGTGTGCATGCCCCAAATTCCAAAAGAATGGAAGAGAAGGGATTGCATCATGACCATGCCCCCAGGGGGTGATGTCTTGCTTTCTATCTCTCTGGCAGGCACATGCACCCTATAGCAAAAGTCTCTTCAAAAAAATTATATGGGGAGGGGAGCAGCAGGTGGCATAGAGGTTAAGGCACTGGATACCACACAGTTGACTGCTCAGATGAATCCCAATCTGGTGACTTGAAAATTATGTTAGGCATGTGTGCATGCTTGCCCCAAATCCTGAGGGGATTGGAGAAGGGACTACAAAGAGAGTGACTTCTCACTTTCCTTCTCTTTTCTGGTGAATGTATGTGCCTTATAGCAAAACTAAAAAAAGAAGAAGAAATCAGAAGAAATCCCACTTCTACTTTTCATGAAGGGTCTTCCTTTAAAAAAATTTTTATTTATTTATTATTATTATTATTATTATTATTATTAATTTGACCAGAGAGAGACAGAAAGGGAAAGATAAAGCAAACTGCCAGGTCCAGGACTCAAACTGTGGTTGGCTATGTGGGAGTCCAGGGCCTTAACTACCATGCTACCTGCTGGCCCCTCTTTCTCATCTCTTGAAAGTCATTCTTAATTTATGACAACACTGGCATATGTGAAACTATGAAAATGTAAAATACACATTGACTACATTATTGAAGAGGCAGTTTGGGACAAATTACATGTACCTGACCTTTGATGAGCAGGCAATCCATAAGAGAAAAAATGTGGTAAGCCATTTAACTTTTCAAATATTTTACTTAAAATGTATATTGTGTAATTAAGATATAATGATATACCAGTGTGGGAAACCTTTGTAGATAATATTTCAACAAATACTTTATATAGTTCCTACACAAAACTATACAATCTACAACTTTCAATTAACTGTAGCATACTCAATAATCTAGAAGGATATGGAGAAAAAAGGCTGAGCAACAAAAACAAGAGCCATGTATATGATTTTAATGATAAAGGAGTACATTATTCAAATGTGATAAGCTATCAGGCTAATCATTTGAAAGAACAAAACTAGATCCTTTACCTCACACCATATACTATTGACTAACATTGTAGCAATGATCTTTGAATAACATACATTACCTTGAATGAAATTTGTTTTGTGTATTAGGAAAAGGGAGGTAAACCTGATAGCATGCTAGGTTCCAGACATTTATTTACTTTGTAGGTCGATGATGTAACAGTTCAAGAAAGCATACACATTTAATTGTTTCAAGTTGATGTCTAATGCTCAAACTATTTACATAAAAATTTACAGAAATTAAGATAAATCTCTATATCAACACCTGAAAATAAATGATTTTTCTAAAGCTCGCTTCAGAATTGCATAACTCCTACAAAAGTGACTATCAGAATGTCTTCAGTTATCAGTAACAGAGCATCCTAAATTAGCTAGTTTAAAAATAAGTTTAGTCTCTCATGAGAGTCCAGAGATGGAGTGGCTATAAGGCTGGCTGGTTCAGTGGCTCAATATCATCCAGATTCCAGGTTTCTGCAGTCTTTCTGCTCATGCCACAATTCATACACTGTCGGAAGACATTACCAAGCACCACATCCAGACAAAGGAATGTTAACCAAAAAGATTCCACTTCAATTTGCTTGATTCCATGGACCTCTGAGGAAACCTTTTCTAGAAATAACCTGTCAGATATCTCTTTAACTAGAATTGAGTCCTATGGCCACTCTAAACCAACTGCTGGCTGACAGGGAGTATTATTATTGATTGAAACTGATCAGGATATATTTCTCATCCTTGAAGAAGAATAGATATCCAAGTTCTGCCAGTGAAGAATAAGGAGGGAGTGACTGAGGAAATCACTCCACAATGGCTGCCACAAATCCTTAAGAATATGTTCTTCATTCACTCAGTAGTGAGAAGAAGCAGAACATGATGTTTAAAAAGACAATCATATCAAATAAAAATATAGTTAATTCCCATGTTATACAGCATTTGTGCTCTGCACACATAACACATAAGAATTCAAATTTTAAAAATAGTACATGAAAACAATAGATAAAAATAGGAATATTTTAAGTACTTAAAAAAAACTGTAGAGTGCAATGAGTACTATAGGTGCTCCTCACTCTTGGACACTTCTGGCCAACAATTTAAAATATCCTAGGCAGGAATTTCTATCTATTTTACACACAGATTTGAATTTCTTACTGCCTCAGATACAGTTGAAAACAAAAACACTGGTTTCTATATGGATGACAATAGTTCATCAACATTTATCAAATGCGTTTATAAATGCTAGGGCACAGTACAAGAAAAAGTATACTTTATACTTATTTTTAAAAAGCATACTTTATAAAATATTATTTCAATGGCAATGCATAAAAATATATTAATGTGGTAATACTTAGAATGGATCATTTTACATGTATTAGAAATTACTCTAGTAAGTGACACAATGCTTTTACAAACATGATTCACACTGGACATACAATTCCTGTAATATAACATACTAAAAAACAACCCTCCCACCCCCAAAAGTCCTATGTTCCCTGGGAACTGCTTATACATGAATTTAAGTTATTGATTTGATTAGCTATCAAGATAGCTACTCTATAGCTTCTATTTACACAAAGATATATTTATAGTAGATATCTTTATCTAAAAGTTTGTTACAGTATCAGAAAGATACCTTTTCATATTAACAATTTTCAAAGAAGTATGATTTCCACATTCCTTAGATTGATCCATTTTGTGTTGGTATGAACTCCCTGATATGTGAAACAGTTCAAATCCATGATGAAACATACACATTCGAAATATGTACGAGTCTGTATGCCTGTATTTTTTTTATCTAATGAGTCATGTAGTCTCCTTATGAACATGGTTTCTACTCTGTGAATTTTCACATCACGATTCTGGCACTGTACAGAGTGTGAGCTCTCTGATATCCAATGGATCTGACTTCAGCTAGTCATTATACTGAAAGGGTTCTCAAGACATAAAAATAAGGTCTGACTTCAGAGAAGCCTTCCCACATCCATTGCATTCATATTCCCTTTCCTATGAATTCTTTGATGGCTATTGAATGCTGATTTGTGGTAGAATTTTTTCCCACATTCAGAACATTCATAGGGTTTCTCTCCTGAATGAGTTCTATAATGTACAGTGAGGTATGACATCCGAGAGAAGGCTTTTCCACATTCATTACATTCAAAAGGTTTCTCTCCTGAATGAATTCGATGATGTATAGTGAGATATGACATCTGAGAGAAGCATTTCCCACATTCATAACATTCATAGGCTTTCTCTCCTGTGTGTGTTCTCTGATGTCTATTAAGGGCTGAATTCTGGCAGAAGGTTTTTCCACATTCACTACATTCATATGGTTTCTCTCCTGAATGAATTCTATGATGTATAGTGAGGTATGACATCTGAGAGAAGAATTTTCCACATATATAACATTCATAGGGCTTTTCTCCTTTATGTATTCTTCGATGTCTGCAAAGGGCAGAATTCTGGTAGAAGGTTTTTCCACATTCACTACATTCATAGGGTTTCACTCCTGAATGAGTTCTATGATGTATAGTGAGGTATGACAACTGGGAGAATAATTTTCCACATTCATTACATTCATAAGGTTTCTCTCCTGTGTGTACTCTCTGATGTCTCATGAGGGCTGAATTTAGGTAGAAGGTTTTCCCACATTCATTACATTCGTAAGGTTTCTCTCCTGAATGAGTTCTATAATGTACAGTGAGATATGATAACCGAGAGAAGAATTTTCCACATTCATTACACTCGTAAGGTTTTTCTCCTGTGTGTGTCCTCATGTGGGTAGTTAGAGTAGACTTGCGGCAGAAACATTTCCCACATTCACTACACTTATAGAGTTTCACACCTGTGTGAATTTTCTGATGGTCATTAAGGGCTGACTTCTGGGAAAAGGTTTTCCCACAGTCATGACAAACATAGGGTCTCTCTCCTGAATGTGTTCTCTGGTGTTGTGTAAGGTGTGTTTTCTGGCAAAAGGATTTTCCACAATAACTACATTCATAGGGCTTCTCTCCTGAGTGAGTTCTCTGATGTTGAATGAGGTGTAACTTCTGGTAGAAGTTCTTCCCACATTCATTACATTCATAGGGCTTCTCTCCTGTATGTGTTCTCTGATGTACAGTGAGGGTTCCTTTCTGGCAGAAGGATTTCCCACATTGATTACATTCATAAGGTTTCTCTCCTGTATGAGTCCTCTGATGTATAATAAACTTAGACTTTTTGCAAAAGGATTTCCCACACTGACTGCATTCATAGGGTTTCATTTCCATATGGGATCTCTGATGTACACTGAGGTTTGACATTTGGAGAAAGGCTATTTCAGATGCATTCCACTTATAGGGCTTCTCTTCCATGTGGTTAACAAAATCTGTGTCCTCTTGAAAGGATTTCGAGCATTCAATATATTCAAAGGGTTTCTCCAAAATATGAATTTTCTTATAAATATTTTCTTCATTTAAAGTATAAGGTTCCCCATTTTGATTAAATTCGTAAGATTTATCTCCTCGATGAGTTTTCTCAAGCTTAATATGGAAGAGTGATTTCCCACATCCACTACATTCATCAGGTTTCATTCTTGCATAGCTTCCATCACTACTAATATACTCTGAAACAGATGTTAAAGTCTTCTCACATGAGTCACATAGGCTATTTTGAAAGGCAATTTTTCTCGAAGGAACAGAGTTCGTTTCAACATTAGAAGTTTTACCAGGAACATTACCTCTTTCTTCAAGCAGGATCTTGTTGATGAACAAAGTTTGCCTTGAATATTTATTTTCATCTTCTTGGACTTTCTCTATTAGATCATTAGTTTGCCACATTTCATCTAAAAAGAGATAAAAATGACCAACTTTTGTACATCTTCCTGTATGATATACAGAATGAGACTTGTATATATGCATCTTGCTGTGGGAGGATACTAGCTTCATGGAGAGATGAAAATAATTCCAAATTCTTCCCCCTTACTCTTTTCATTTGAGAAACAAAACATAAACACTCACCTCCAGAGTGGGGAAAGGAGGAAGCAAACTGACAAAATACAAGCACTTTTGATTTTTGCTACTTTATAAGATTTTGATCAAAACTGGGTACAGAAGATAAAATATAAAAATGGATCAATGGAGACCAGCAGGTGGCATGGTGGTTAAGGTGCTGGATACTCCCACATGGCCAACCATGGTTCAAGTCTTGGACCTGCTGGCTTGCTTTCTGTGTGTGTGTGTGTGTGTGTGTGTGTGTGTGTGTCTGGTCAAATTAAAATAAATGAATGAATAAATAAAATTAAATAAATTAATGATTCTTTAAAAAAAATGGATCAATGATCAGTGGCCAAAGGATGCTAGATGAATAGCTGACAAGGGGGATATGAAGGGATTCACAACAAATAAAGTAAACCAGTACGAAAGCAAAGAATGCTGTTAGATGAGGAGGGACATCAGATATATATCCAAATAGGGATTCGTTTTGGAGGAAGGTGGAATAGCACTTTATACTGAATCATTTCATATCAAACTGGGAGAGACAAATTATAGTCTAAGCCATATCACCTATTCTAAGATTTTTTAAAGAATTATTTAATTCCATTTGTTATTATTTTTAAATTTGATCAGAGAGAGAAAGAAAAAGGGAAAGTGAGAAAGCAAGCCACCAGGTCTGGGACTTGAACCACAGCTGGCCATGTGGGAGTCCAGCACCCTTAACCTCCATGTCACCTGCTGGCCCCTATCCAAATATTTTTATGGTATCATGATCACTAATCTACATCCTTTCAGACTATTTTCCCTTTTTTCCCCATTCCACACAGAAATGCCAAATAAAAGTTATGCTAAGTTTCTGCAAGTTTAGAGGATGAGCCTACTTTTTTTTTTTTTTTTTGAGAAGTTTTTGCTATAGTGCGTCTGCCCTTGCCAGAAAGACAGAGACAGAGAGAGAAAACAAGAAATCACCCCGCAGGAGGGATGGTCATGCCACAATCCCTTCTCCTCTCGAGGTCTTGGGCATACACGCACAAGTGCCCAGCGTGAGTTTAAGCCACCAGGTCTGGGACTCGAACTGCAGTAGACTACATGGGAGTCCAGCGACATAGCCATTATGCTAACTGCTGGTCCCTGAGGATAAGCTTTCTAATTAGGGCTCTAACTGTAATTCTGTGTGACTTGACAGGAGAGTCCTGGAACATATATAATTCACAAAAGCATGCTATCCTTTCAAAAGGTTTAAATTTCTTAGATATGCTAATGACTTACTAGTGAATTCAACCTGGGCATGAAATTCTATTTGCTTCTCTCTTTTATTTATTTATTTATTTATTTAATTTGTTTCTCTCTTTTTTTCATGTATTTATTTTTTTATTTGTTTCTCTTTGAGCAATACAGTATGAATTCTGGTGAAGTGACCTGGGGTGAGTACTTAGTCCACTGTACTTAGTATCTGCCACTTGTCAAATGGAGATGATGGCACCTACTTCATAAGGTTGTTGTGGGATTACAGGAGTTAATAAATAGAAAATGCTCGGAATATCATTTGGTACAAACACATGCTCCATGAGCCTAGCAGTTACTCTGCTTCAAACTCCTGACAGTTCCCTTAAACCAGTTGTATCCCTGTTACATGACCATCACTTAACTCTAAATATTAGTGCTTCCCCACTCTTGAGTTCCACTTAGGATACAAATCTTAAGAAGCAGATCCTTTGGGGGGACCAGCAGTTGGCATAATGGCTATGTTGCTGGACTCCCATGCAGCCGACCGTGGTTCGAGTCCCAGACCTGGTGGCTTAAACTCACACCGGGTGCATGTGTGTGTGTGCCCAAGATCCCAAGAGGAGAATGGAGGAGAAGGGATTGTGGCATGGCCATCCCCCCTGGGGGGTGATTTCTTGTTTTCTGTCTCTGTCTCTCTCTGTCTTTCTGGTGAGTGCACACACCCTATAGCAAAAACCTCTCACAAACAAGCAAACAACAACAACAAAAAAAACAGCAGCAGATCCTTCAATCTACTTTTAAAATAGTGACTTTTGTTTTTACTTAGCTTAGAAATTGTTGGATGAAGCTGATTACTGTACCTTGTTATCAACCATATTAAGTACCATATTGACCTTATCATCCAATACCTACAGTTTCTCTAAATCCCCTGCCAAAGTATCAACAAATAAAGTGGAAAAAAAATTTTGATAACTGACACTTTCCATCACGTAGACTCACAATGTGATTCCAAGCTAGGATGACAGTTGTTTACCAAAAAAAAAAATTTTTTTTCCTTTTGGAGAGGTTTTTGCTATAGGGCACGTGTGCTCGCCAGACAGAGAGAGAGAGAGACAGAGAGATAGAAAGCAAGAAATCACCCCCCAGAGGGGATGGCCATGCCGCAATCCCTTCTCCTCCATTCTCCTCTTGGGATCCTGGGCACACACGCACACGTGCCTGGTGTGAGTTTTAAGCCACCGGGTCCGGGATGTGAACCGCGGTCGACTACATGGGAGTCCAGCAACATAGCCATTACGCTAACTGCTGTTCCCTCCCAAAAAATGTTTTTATATTCAGTTTTAGGAACACCAAGGTATTTGTTGGACAGGAGGGATATATCCAAATAGGAATTTGTTTTGGAGCCACATTAACCTTATCACATCATATCAAGTTGGGAGAAATAGGCACCATCACCATAAGCAGAAATCACTGTGGTGACCAAAAACACCCCCAGCACCTTTTCACCTATATCCTCTGCTCTTGTTTCAGTTTGCCTGACTTGCTTTCATCTATTCTAAACCTATCACTAAAAAGGGTTCCCAAGCTTTAAAAAATACCTTTCAGGGGCTAGCAGGTGGTGTGGTGGTTAAGAGTGCTGCATTCCCACATGGCCAACTGCGGTTCGCATCCCAGATCTGGTGGCTTGCTTTCTCTCTCTCTCTCTCTCTCTGTCCCTCTCTGGTCAAATTATAATAAATAAATAAATAAACATAAATAAATAAATAAATAAAAATAATTCTTAAAAATAATTAATAGGCTTTAAAAGATACCTTTCAAAATATTTCTTATCTCAATTATCTCCACTTCCCCTTAAAGTTGAAAATAGTAATGGTCCATATAATCATTTTACACAAAGTGATTAAGCCCAGCATTAGAATACCAGAACGCATGGAAAACATTGTTTTAAATTACTTCATGCAGCTCTGTATCTATTTTCTTAACTATCTCCTAAAAAGTATGACTCTTCTTATTTCTTTTTAAAACCTGAACAGAAATAAGAGTTGTTGTTCTTAATCTGAATCATACAGGCATTTTTGTAGAACTTGTAAAACATATAGGGATGTCACCCAGGCATGTGCAGTTAGAAATAACAGCCTATAAATTATTTCTGAATGGACTAGAAAATTATTTCATTGACCTGGCTCCTCAAAATAATCAAAGAAATAAATGTCTACTCTATGGTATAGACTACATTGAGGGAGGAAAGTATGTCTTTTTTAAATAGGATCATAATCCAGGGGAGCAAAAAAAGCTTAAGAATTTTATATATATATACACACACACACACGCACACGCACACACACACACACACACACACACACACACACACACCCTCAAGCAATATACTACTTAATCAAACTCACTTTTCTTAAGGTATCACCACTAGGTAAAACTGAAGCTGAAAGAAGACATTATCAGAGTAATGATGAGTCAGTTAAGAAAAACTTGGGACCAGCAGTTAGCATAATGGCTATGTTTCTGGGCTCCCACGTAGCCGACCGCGGTTCACGTCCCGGACCCGGTGGCTTAAAACTCACGCCGGACGCATGTGCATGCATGCCCAAAATCCCGAGAGGAGAATGGAGGAGAAGGGATTGCAGCGTGGCCATCCCCTCTGGGGGGTGATTTCTCGCTTTCTGTCTCTCTGTCTCTGTCTGTCTGGCGAGCGCACGCGCCTTATAGCAAAAGCCTCTCAAAAAAAAAAAAGAAAAAAAAGACAAAAAGAAAAACTTCAAGGACAGGTTGAAGATTTGAGCTCAGATTTAAAGAATGTGTAATCTGGAGAAGTAAAGCACACCCTAATGAAATGTAGGATTATAAGGACAATAATCGTCACGATGTTAGGAATGTAGATCAAGGATTGTCCTGGGAGTTTTGGGAGAAAAACAGAAAATTAACATTTTCTAAGCAATGCAAGGCCAACATTGTGGTGATCCTAAAAGGATGAGGAATTTCAATTCCCTTTAGGAAGTAACAGTGAATAGGCTCATCTTGTGAGACGAGTCATAAGATCAACTAAAAACTTCAGATGAAGGAAACCAGCAGTTAGCGTAATGGCTATGTCGCTGGACTCCCACGTAGTCAACCACGGTTCGCGTCCCGGACCCAGTGGCTTAAACTCATGCCGGGCGCATGTGCGTGCATGCCCAAGATCCCGAGAGGAGAATGGAGGAGAAGGGATTGCGGCGTGACCATCCCCCCTGGGGGGTGATTTCTCGCTTTCTGTCTCTATGTCTCTCTCTGTCTGTCTGGCGAGCACACACGCCCTTATAGCGAAAAACCTCTCCAAAAAAAAAAAAAACTTCAGATGAAGACATCTTACAAATCTAATTAGGATTCATAGCAACCCAGGCATGACAGGATATAGTTCCTGTTTACATTAAGTAAAAGAAAACTGCAAATACACAGAGGAAAATTAGGGTATTTCCCACGGACAAAAATCAGCAGTCCTAGAAAAATCAGTAATACTGAAATGAATGTTTTGATAGTGATTCCATAGATGCCACTATGGGAAAAGAGGAAAATAGTATTTCAGTAAACAAAGGGAGGTGGAGATGATTAGTAACTATAATCTGAAAGAATCTGTGATCCATTTTCAGACATAGTGAAAATGAAAAGGAATGCACTGCTATCACTGGAACACAGGCTGCACAGTGATGGCAGAGATATCAGCCCATGTGTGAGCAGCATTAAAACAAACTCTATAGACCTGAGACTGGAGGAACCCTTTGAGGAATTCATGAAATAAGGAAATCACAACAGGTGGAAACAGATCCTTTAGAGACATTTCTGGAGGGTATAAAAGGATAAATCAAACTTCATTTACATAAACCATGCTTAGAGAGCATATGCTATGACAAAACATTGTTCAAGGCATTGGGAACAGTAAATAAGAGACAAGGTGAAAACAAGCACTGGGAAAAAACCAGGAGACCCAGTTACTGTTGTTATCAAAATTAAGGAGGCCTGAATTTCAGGAATAATCAGCACCATCAATGAAGCACAAGTGCATGTGACAATGAAAGGAATAGAATTCATTGGCTTAAGCATAAGGATGGGGATTTTGCAATCTGATCTCCAAGAAAGAAATGTAAAAAGTGGATTCAAGGATAGAAATAAGGCCAAGGCAATTCAGAATAAAGAAGAAAAGAATTAGAAAGTAATAAGGTAAGTGTCACATAAGTTTGTTTTTGTTTTTTGCTATAGAGTGTATGTGCTCACTGGAGAGAGACAGTGAGAGGGAAAGTGAGAAATCCCCCAGAGTGGGTGGCCATTCTGTAATCTCTTCTCCTCCATTCTCCTCCTGGGATTTTGGGCATGCATGCACACACATCTGGTGTGATTTTCAAGCTGCCAGGTCTAGGACTCGAACCGTGGTCAGCCATGTGGGAGTCCAGCACCTTAACCACCACACCACTTGCTAGACCTACAAGTTATTTTTTAATGACAGATTATGAACACCTATAAACAGAAGGAATCTATGATAGAGGGTTACTGAAAATACTAGAAGGGCAAGCAAAGATCACGGATTACAAGGAAGAAGGAAGTGGTAAGATTTTGTTTCTGGGTAGTGGTAATCAAGCAAAGCTGTATAAACACAAGTTATTATAAGGAAGGAAGAAGTTCTTTGAGCATATAAAAGTCACTTTAGTCACTTAAGATTTAGGACATTAAAAAATTCCTGGGAAAACACTCTCAAGTTACCAGTCTCCTCACTTAACTCCACTAACATACCTGGATAGTTCTGAAGTAGGAATTCTCCTACTATCCATGGCTCTTCTCCTTGCTCCAACTTGATGATAACATCCGGTTTGATAATGTGATAGCCTGTTAATGAGAAATGAAAGATAACTTTAGCCTGGTTGCTTTGTTTCAGGATCTGTGTTCTGTCCTATGAGTACAATGATACCATACAAGGTGCACAACACAAAAGTCACTATGCTTTTATCCAAGTTAGAACCTTTCACTAGTTAAGTCAAGACCAAAATGCACTGCCTGGTGCCCAAAACAGGTTACTCACATATGTCCCGTCAAATTCACAGTTAAAGTCATTAAATTTGAGAAAAACCCCATGTATTTTAGCAACTAAGAAAACAAGCTGTCCTCACCCACAGAAACTAGGTTGTTGTAGTTCTCCAGCATCACATCCCTGTATGTCATCTTCTGCTCAGGATCCAGCTGCTGCCACTCCTCCTGGGTGAAATCCACAGCCACATCGTTGAATGACACTGGCCCCTATAATAGCACCATGATTGGAATCAGTCATGTTAAAAAGGTACATTAACAACCTCACTGGTAAAGTTGTCAATAAACAATGCATACCTTATTTTAAGTTATGGATTATGGAAGGAAAACAAACATAATAGAAATGGGCTGCCAGGACCAGCAGCTAATGTTACAGTTAATGGCTATGTTGCTGGACTCCCACGTAGTCAACTGTGGTTCGCTTCCTGGACCCGATGGCTTAAAACTCATGCCGGGCGCGTGTGCATGCGTGCCCAAGATCCCGAGAGAAGAATGGAGGAGAAGGGATTGTGGCGTGGCCATCCCCCCTGGGGGGTGATTTCTTGCTTTCTGTCTCTCTGTCTCTGTCTGTCTGTCTGGCGAGCACACACGCCCTATAGCAAAAACCTCTCCAAAAAAAAAAAAAAAGAAATGGGCTGCCATTGAGTTCATTCAGTATACATTAGAGGAAAGGTTCCTGGCACTGTCAGCCAGGCTTCTGGCTGTTGGAGACACTAAGACCAACCAATGAGCACATCTCCTGCTGCCTAGGAGTACTTGGGGAATCCCAGGATGCACCTTGCTCCTCTGAAAACTCTCATCTTGCTTCCAGACTATTAGTAATGTTGGTTCACTTCTTATGTCCCTGATTATTCCTCCTCAGTCTTCTGCTGGCTCCTCCTGTCTTTCTAATCATTCCGAAGTTGGGAGGACCCCAGGATTCAGTCTTTGGACTTTTTTCTTGCTGTCTGCACTTGCTCTCTGATGGTAAGCCCACTTGGCTTCACGGCTAACTCACTACCATTTATGTCCCAACATTTCCTGAATTTATATCACCAGCCCAGCCCAGGCCTCCTAATCTCTACACACATATGTCCCTGATCTCAAACTTGACCCACCTGAAATTTAACTGCTGTTCCTGTCCAAACCTGTTCCTTTCATAGCCTATTGGAATCAATCACACATAGTTACTAAACCAACAAGCAAGTGAGGCAACATGCATTCTAGATTTGCTTTTTATTTCAAGAGTAAGTCGACCACAGGTCTGACCAAGGCCAACCACATGAATTATCACTAACAGTTTGGCTCATTTGTCTCTAACTCTCAGCTTGGAACTCTGAATTCCCTTTCTTCTCATTTACGCATCCCCCAGGAAGGAAACACATTTCCGAAGAGGGGCAGATAGGTTTACTATCCGGAAAACTGTCAAACCGTAATAGTGTACATCTTCTGAATATACTGTCCCGTTCACAATTACTCACACCAGCCATAATAACGGTTTCCTCCAGTATCATCACTTCTAAAATGAAAGTACTAATGGTACCTATCACATAATATAATATCAATATTAAATAGGTTAATCCATGGAAAGCACTTACTATATCAAGGTACTTGGACATAATATATCTCAATGGTATCTACTGACTATTGTGTATCTTATCACTTTCCCTTTAGGACAGAAAACTAACCACAAAACAGATATTTAAGCAACTAAAGGCAATGAAGCAATAAAGTTTTATGCAATTGCAAGAAAGCATTATAAAACAGGAGCTGACCCTGTAGCATAGCAGTTAAGCCCTTTGCATGGGGATCCAGATCCCACATGGCTGACCAGTTTACATACCGCGCTGGGCAGCTTGAAAAACATGCTGGGCACATGTATGTGTATGTGTGCCCCAAATCCTGACAGGCTGGAGAAATAGAGAAAAAGAATTCTGTCAGGCTCACTCCCCATTAGGAAGGTACTTCCTCTATCCTTCTCTGGCAACAGCATGTACTTGCAGGAAATAAAACAAGAAACAACAAAAAACAAATCTGTGTGTTAAAAACAAAAAAGATCAGATGACTTCAACAAAACCTGGAAACAGGAGTAGTATTAAAGGTGGAAAAGAAGGGCTAGTCTGTACCACAGTGGTTAAGCCCTATATATAGGGAGCCAGATCCCATATGGCCAATCATGGTTCAAATCCTAGCCCTGGTGGATGAAAAAATGCACCCAAAATCCTGACAGAGTGGAAAATTGGAGGAAAAAGGATTTCGGTGTGACCATGCCCCATTGGGGTATGGGTTCCTTTCCTTTCTCCCTCTGGCAAGTGCACATGCCCTCTGGCAATTAGGGGCCACATCATGTTCAGGGGCCACATGAAATAATGACAAATTCCTGATGTTTTACTGGACATTTTAAGTTTTATATATGGAACAAGCCACAAGTGTGTAATAGGTCCTGCTGACAGGGTTCCCTGAGATGCTACATTGTTCTCTCCCAGCTCTGGGTCCTGGGATGTCCATGGATCAGGCTAGCTGGCCTGGGAAGGCTGAAGGTGATCAGAGCAGGATATATCTAACTGCTGAGGGGACGCCAGTGAGCAGAATAAGTGTCTCCTGCCCCAGGTAGGTTGATCTATGGGCAGACTGCCCAGTAGGCAAGACCATCTTGGAGAACAATAGCAACAGACCCAACAGCTTGAAAATCATGCTAGGTGCATGTGTATGCATGCCCAAAATCTTGAGAGAATGGAGACAGGATTGTGGCATGGCCATCTCCCTCAGGGGTGACTTCTTACTTTCCTCTCTTTTTCTGATGAGCGCATGCACCCTATGACAAAAGCGAAAACAAAAAAGTCATCAAATCCAGGAGGAAAGCAAAGAGAGAGATATCACAGAAATTGACAGAGTAGGCTGTCAAAGTATCTAAAGATATTGCAAAGTATCTAAGACAAAGAGTGGTAAATATCCACTTGACATGTATGTTAGATCACTAGCAACCTCTATACCAGGACAGGTTCAAGGGAGTCGCAGAGTCAGAACCAGAACTGCAGGCTATAGCAAAAAGCAGGAAATAAGGGAATCTTTGCAAGAGATTTACCACTGCCCTATCTGCTGTGCAACCCAGATAGACTAACACAAAAAATATTCATGGAGACTAATTTAAAGCTGAGAAAGCCATTTCTTCAGGAGATCTGTGATTTATCTCTAAACTGAGAAGAACATTTTATCTTTAGAACAGCAATGTTTTTTTGGTTTATAAAAATTATTTTCTATTTAACTTTATTTATCCATTTATTTTAATTTGACCAGAGAGGGATAGAATGAGAGAGAGTGAGAGAAACAGAGAGCAAGAGAGAGAAAGTGAGAAAGCAAGTCGCCAGGTCTAGGACTCAAACCATGGTAGGGCATGTGGGAGTCCGGTGCCCTTAACCACCACGCCACCTGCTGGCCCCCCAACAATGTTTTTAATCACTAAAAATATCATATGCACTGAGTCCTTTTTGGGCTGAAGGCTTATGATCACATGAGGGACAAATAAGGCATGGATGACAATGGTTTAAGGGCTGTTATTTAAAAAGACTATTCACAGTCTTTAAAAAACCCATGAGAAAACAAAAACATTTCTGTTTATGGTAAATTTAAGTAATTGACAGTATTTATCTTTTTTTTTTTCTGACTGTGTGTCCACTTGCACACTGAGAGAGAGATAAGAAAATACCCCTCCCATGGAGAATGGTCACACTGCAGTCCTTCTCCACTTCTCCTTCTTTTCAGGATTCTGGGTATGCAGGCATACACACATGTCTGGCATGTTTTTCAAGCCACTACATCCAGGAGTCAACTACATAGTTGGCCATGTGGGATCCAGCTGCCTTAATCACCATGTCACCGGATGACCCAGTATTTATCATCTTTTTTTGTGATTAATACCAAAAATGTGGGAACCAGCAGTTAGCATAATGGCTATGTCGCTGGACTCCCACGTAGTCAACCGCGGTTCACGTCCTGGACCCGGTGGCTTAAAACTCAGGCCGGGTGCGTGTGCATGCGTGCCCAAGATCCCGAGAGGAGAATGGAGGAGAAGGGATTGCGGCGTGACCATCCCCTCTGGGGGGTGATTTCTCGCTTTCTGTCTCTATGTCTCTCTCTGTCTGTCTGGCGAGCGCACGTGCCCTATAGCGAAAACCTCTCCAAAAAAAAAAAAAAAATGTGAGACCCATTTGTACTCTAGCTTTAAGAATTCTTCAAGCTTTTTGGACCAGCTGTTCGTGCAATGGCTATGTTGCTGGACTCCCATGTAGTTGATTGCGGTTTGCCCGGACCTGGTGACTTGAACTCACGCCAGATGCATGTGTGTGCCTGCCCAAGATCCCGAGAGGAGAAAGGAGGAGAAGGGATTGTGGCGTGGCCATCCCCCCTGGGGAGTGATTTCTTGCTTTCTGTCTCTCTGTCTCTATCTTTCCGGCGAGCACACGCACCCTATAGCAAAAACGTCTCCAAAAAAAGAAAAAAAAAAGAATTCTTTAAGCTTTTTAACACTGTCTACACATATGTACACATATGATCATGACAAAATGCTTGGTGCTAATTGTTACTATTTTGTCTCACTATATCTTTCATCTACTTTTACTTTTCCGTTTTAAAGCTTGAATCCTTATTCACCTACTCAGGTATGTTATAAATCAAAACAGAGAAAATAAATGCATGTGCAGAAAAACTCACCAGGGATGTACTCATTTTCTGCTGCTCTTGGTAAACTGTAGAGGACTGTGAAAGTGAAGACAGATCTGGGGAAGGAAAATGTAAGCAATGAATTTATGGATGATCTGCTACATAAAGGGAGGAATCTCTTACATTAGCATAAAAACCTGCCCAAGCCAAGTTTAGTGGCATGGGCTTGTAATCCCAGCTACTCAGGAGGCTGAGGCAGGAGGACTGTGAGGTATAGGCTAGCCTGGGCAACACAGCAAGAGATCTCTTAAAAGAAAGAAAAGAAAACATCCTGCCCTGTCACTATGGGACACTGTTTTTTTAATCCCTCAGAAGAGGTTGGAGAATGAGCAAGGGTGCTCACTTGCACATCTGTAACTCCCACATGATTAGGTGATAACTGAGAGAATGCAATTCTCATTCTATGAATCCTATTGACATAATCTGCCATTATTAAAGTTAAGATTAAAAAAGAAATTTTTTTATCCTCATCTATTTTCTATTTTAACTGCTTAAGATCAGAAAATTCACAGGATGCTCTAAAAAAGAAAAAGGATACAGTCAACATGGTCCAGTCATGAAGAACCTGAATGATGCTACTCAAAGGATCTTTATGAAGGCTTACCTGTACTTGACTTAACTGTAATACAGTAGACAGAACACTGGCTTGAGGACTCCTGGGTTCTCCTATTAACAATCCTGCCCACAAGCCTCGTGACTTTGAACAAGTCACCATCTTCTCAGGCTTAGTATCTTTTTCTGCACTGCAGTGTGTAATTCTACAAGGGCAGACCTTATGAGAAAGCAGCAAACATACAGAGCACAAAGGTACCCGTGGACATCTATGGACTTGGCAATCTGCAGCTCTGAGAGGAGGAAGGGGTATTGGGATCCGGAGGGAGGAGTGGAGATAGAATGTCTGCAGCTAACATTGAAGACCCTCTTCACCTCGGTAAACTTCATCTTCAGGGATCTTCCCTCAGAGCACCCATTAGGCACCGCTTGCTCTTGTCCACAAACTCAACCACGTCTCTCCTAGAAACGACCGAAGCGTCCCTTTTCCCACACTAACATCCTCAGCATTAGGCGACTTCAAGCCCTGCACACTCCAGGGAGGAAGATCAGGAGTGGCCTGAGACCCACATATCTTCGACTTACCTCTCTTGGAGCTCCCAGAGGTCCGAGTAGGCGGTGCTTTTGCTATGCGCTTCTGCTCTCAAAGCCTCTTCCTTCCACCCCACCAATGGAGTTCTGTTCCCGAAAAGCCGGGTCTGGGGCCTATAGGACAAACTCAGGCAGGGCGCCCCACAACTCGTGGCCCAAATCTGCCTCCCCGAGGACTCGCTGTCCCGCGGAACCTCAGTGGGGAGGCCGAGGATGCAGTCCCAGGTCCCGCCGCCTCTTCGCCGCGGCCACTGTTCACCCAGCCCCTGGGGACCCAGAGCTAGTGTTTGCGAGTCCTCGCTCGAACCTCCGCCTGGCTCGCGCGAACTCTGGCCCGCACAGGCCCACGCCGCCTGGGTGCCGGCCGGATCGGTCGGCGCCCAGACCGCAGGCTCTGAGATTCTCGCCCAGCGGAGGCCAAGGCCTGGGAACTAGGGCGAGCGGTCACCTGGGGACGGACAGGAAGCTAGGGCAGTACGGCGGAGACGCGCATGCGTGAACACGCACACAGGCAGAAGTGTACATGCGCAGGAGGGCGCCGGAAGTCTGGCAAGGTCTATCACCGGTCTCGGGGCAAATACCAGGACTCCATTTCCCATAAGTCTACGCGCCATCACATTTAGGGACCGTCTTAAAACCATCTACCTCGTCTTAAGAGGGTTGTGCTTTAAAGATGGATCGCCTTAGACCTGGAACTCAAAATTGTTCCTTGATTAAGATTTTTAGGGTTTTTTTTTTTTAACGTATTATTTATTTAATTTTATTTATCGTTTATATAACTATTTTAAAAAGAGTTGTTTAATTTTTATTTACTCATTTACTTATATTTTAATTTGACCAGAGAGAGACAGAGAGACAGAGAGAGAGAGAGAGAGAGAGAGAAAGTGAGAAAGGAAGCCACCAAGTCCTGGACTCAAATCTTTTTCGGCAATATGCGAGTGTCCAGAGCCTTAACCCCCATGCCACCTGCTGGCCTCTTATTATACATATTTTTAATTTGACCAGAGACCGAAAGGGAAAGTGAGAAAGCAAGCTACCAGGTTCAGGGCTCGCACTGCCAGCGGTCATGCTGGAGTCCATTGCTCCAAACTACCATGCCACCCACTGGCCCTTTACTTCTTAGTTTAAGGGAATGTCTTTATGTGAACGACTGGAATGTCTTCAAGGGAGCGTGTAGAATGTCTCTGTTTAAAGTACTCATACTCAATTGTGTTCTGGCCTTTTTTCTTAAGCACAAGTTTGAGGCTTAAGTTTGACGATGAGATTTTGACTACTTTCCTATTCTAAGATACTCTCTAGGGGCCGGCTAGAATACCAAATGGACGACCAGTGGCGTGCTTTCTCACTTTCTCTGGTCAAGATTTTTTCGAGAGAGAGATTTTTGCTATAGGGCGCGTGCACTCTCCAGAGAGACACACAGAGAGACACACAGAGAGACAGAGAACGAGAAATTACCCCCAGGAGGGATGGCGACACTGCAATCCTTTCTCCTTCATTCTCCTCTCAGGATTTTGGACACACACACGCACCCGGCAAACCGCTGCTTTGGAATGCTAATGGTAGTCATGTAATCATTGCCATCTGGTCAAATTTTAAAAATATAATACTAAATTAGGGACCAGCAGTTGGCGTAATTGCTTTGTCGCTGAACTCCCATGCGGCTGACCGCGTTTTGAGTCCCAGACCCGGTGGCTTAAACTCACAACGGGCATGGTGTGGGTGCTGCCCAAGATCCCCAGAGGAGAATGGAGGAGAAAGGATTGCAGCGTGGCCATCGTCCCTGGGGGGTGACTTCTCGCTTTCTATCACTCTGTCTCTCTCTGTCTTTCTGGCGAGCACATGCACCCTATAGCAAAAACCTCTCCAAAAAAAGAAATATATATATATATATATATACACACACACACATATATATAATGCTAAATTCAATGAAATAATTTAAAAAATACTTTCTAAGGGGCCTGAGGGAGTACGTGTACAAACATTTATCTTGTTGCTGTAGTCTGCCTTTGCCCAGTGATTGTGGGATGGTACCTACCTCCTGTCCCTGAAATAGTGTTTTATGATACTCAGTAAAGCTTTCTTATCTTTGGGGACCAGCAGTTAGTGTAATGGTTACGTTGCTGGACTCCCACGTAGTCGACCGCGGTTCGAGTCCTGGACCCGGTGGCTTAAACTCACGCCGGGCGTGTGTGCGTGCGTGTCCAAGATCCCGAGAGGAGAATGGAGGAGAAGGGATTGTGGCATGACCATCCCCCCTGGGGGGTGATTTCTCACTTTCTGTCTCTGTCTCTCTCTGTCTGGCGAGTGCACGCACCCTATAGCAAAAACCTCTCCAAAAAAAAAAAAGAACACAAAAGCTTTCTTATCTTCGTTTAAGTAAAACATAGGCATAGGCATTTCTTTGCTGGTTATGTCTCTCCGGAACAAACCCTTACATTTCTAAATCTACCTATAATCTATAAGGCCCTAGCGCCTTCCAGCTCTCCCACCTCTCTGGGCCAAGCCAATACTAGGACTCCTTAGACTGGTTTGCAACTTTGTGTTCTCTCCTCTCCAAACTAAATAAAAAGAACCGGGGGAACCAGCAGTTAGCGTAATGACTATGTCGCTGGACTCCCACATAGTCGACCGCGGTTCATGTCCCAGACCCGGTGGCTTAAAACTCACGCCGGGCGCGTGTGCGTGCGTGCCCAAGATCCCGAGAGGAGAATGGAGGAGAAGGGATTGCAGCGTGACCATCCCCCCTGGGGGGTGATTTCTCGCTTTCTGTCTCTATGTCTCTCTCTCTGGCGAGCGCACGTGCCCTACAGTGAAAATCTCTCCAAAAAAAAAAAAAAAAACCCGCCTGCCACTCAACAGCCCAGAAAACTTTTGCACTTTCCTGAGTTTAGTCACTTAATTTCATGTTTGGAATCAACCATTTTAATTATGTTCTACAGTCTTATTTCTATCGACAAGTTTTAGAATCAGTGCAAATGCACAACCATATTAAATAAGGAAAAGTGGTGCATCGTGTCCACTTATGATTATGAGACATTTAGCTAAAATTTAGTAAAATATTAAGAATATTATCCTAGAGCAGGGTACCTTCCCCTAACGAGAGGGATTTTTTAAAAAAGACAGCTTTTCAAACCACATTTAATTTGTGATAACTATAGAAAAATCAGTAACTACACAAAGAATTGAAAAATAAAATTACCAGTGACTGGGGCTGGCAGATGACATGGTGGTTAAGTGCACTGGATTCCCACATGGCCGACCATGGTTCGTGTCCTGATGTGGCAGCTTGCTTTCTTGCTTTCTCTCTCTCTCTCTCCCTCTCTGGTCGAATTAAAAGAAATAGATAAGTAAATAAATAAGGTTAAATAAAATAATTCTTTTTTATTTTTAAAATTTATATATTTTTAATTATTATACATTAAATTGCTATGCATCATTTAGATTGTGAAGAGACTTTACCCAGCATGATATACACTTCAGTTCAGCCCAGATGAGACCACCATACACATCCTCATCTACAGATAATAAACCTTATCTGTGCCCCACAAGTGTCTTACCTCTCCATTTCCCCACCAAATTTCCTGACTACCTCCTGAAGTGGTTAATGTGAAAAAAAAAAGGAATTTTGTGTTTCAATGGAAAAAAGCATTGTTTGGAATACCTTATTATTTGATTCCAGCTCTGCTCATTATCCTTGAGCTATTTTACAACTCTGAAATTTTGAGATAACTGATGCAAATTATATCCTGTTTAGTGGAAGTTTAGTTGAATTCATCCTATCCCCACCCAGAAAGAATCCAATTTTGCCTCTGTTTATTCATTTACATATTCATTTAATATTCCTGATCTGTAAGTATATCTGCTTCTCAGTTTCTCTTTTGAACAAGTTATGTTTTCTGCCAGTTTTCTCCTGGATTAAAGTCTTTAGAATATGCTCATTTTTTTGTCTGTATGAGTGTCATGATCTTACCCTTGGAGGGTTTCACATTTTTTAAGGTCTTCCCAAAGATCCCCAATAGATTCACCTAACAGAATCAGGTTAACTTCATCTCAAAAGTGGTATACTGGGGGACCAGCAGTTAGCATAATGGCTATGTCGTTGAACTCCCATGTAGTTGACTGCGGTTCAAGTCCTGGACCTGGTGGCTTAAACTCACGCCGGGCACGTGTGCGTGGGTGCCCAAGATCCCAAGAGGAGAATGGAGGAGAAGGGATTGTGGTGTGGCCATCCCCCCTGGTGGGTGATTTCTCGCTTTCTATCTCTCTTTCTGTCTGGCGAGCACACGTGCCCCATAGCAAAAACCTCTAAAAATAAAAAAGTGGTATATTGCATGAGCTGTTGAAGCCCAGGTGCATCATTTATTGGCTCCTAGAGGTGATTCCAAAGTGTGAAAGAACTTTGTTGACTTTCCATTTTCTAGAAATTTCCTCTTCTACAAAATTTGTTTCCTTTGGTTTTGGCTCCTTCGCCACAATGATTGGGAATCTGGCTTTATAGTATGATTACTTAATGACCTTTGTATAGAAATTCATCTTTCCAGAGACCTAATTTCTTTCCTTTCTTTCTTTTTTCTTTTCCTTTTTTTTTTTTTTTTTTTGAGAAGTTTTTGCTATAGGATGCGTGTGCTTGCCAGAAAGACAGAGAGAGAGAGAGAGAGAAAGAGAAATCACCCCCCAGGGAGCTGACCAGGCCATAATCCCTTCTCCTCCATTCTCCTCTCAGGATCTTGCGCACACATGCACACGCGTCCAACATGAATTTAAGCCACTAGGTCTGGGAATCGAACCATGGTCGGCTACTTGGGAGTCCGGCCACATAGTCACTACACCAACTGCTGGTCCCCTGAGACCTAATTTCTATTGGTTGAGAATGGAGTGTATGATCAGTTAGTCTTCTCTGTTTACTTTTTTTCTTTTTTCTTTTCTTGCTAGAGGGGTGTGTGCTTGCCAGAGAGAAACTGAGAAGGAGGAAGAGGAGAAAACACCCCCAATGGGGCATGATCATATAGCAACCCTTTCTCCATGTCTCTATTCTGTAGGGATTTGAAACACACATGCAGAAGTTCCTGGTGTGTTTCCCAAGTTCTGGGGCCAGGACTTGAACCACACAGTCAGCTATGTGGGATTCAGCTGCTTTAATTAACAGGTCGTGGAGCTGGCCCAGTTTATCTACTTTGAGCTCAAATCAGTTAAGAATTTCATGTCCACTGAGAGGAGAACAGCTTTTTTGGTATCTGGAGTGGTAGGTTTTTGAGTTTCAGTATTTTCTCTTGACTGGTGTTTGAAATTTTAGATTGAAACTGTCGCTACCGAGTTCTGTTTCTCCGTATATCTATGCATCTATAATTCATAAAAGTATTTACCTCTTATTTTGTGTATGTTTTCTTACCATTGAATGTTATTAAATTATACGACCTCTCAAATGAAAGGATCTCTGTTTTATTGGCTTATAGAAACACATACAATATTTCTATACATATAATAGCATA